TTRGTTTTTGGAGATAGTCATGGTGGGTTTAATTTGGAAGCTGTTTTAAAGTCAAGGTGTATTTGAAAGGTGTGTGCTACCTATGACTGTAGAAGGGATGGAAGGATGGAAATTTATGTGGCAATGTGTAGTATGCTAATTGTATAGAAGCTGGAGTTAAGAGAGTTTGAGACCAAACACTCGTTTTCTCAATATCATGTTCAGTGTCTCCATATCTCCCTTCCCCTACTGCAGAACCCCATGGGCCTGCTCAGATACCTCTTGTGCTAAGCTATTGGACAGAATACAATGATTCAGAAAGAGAGCATAGAAGAATGGAATTGGAACTGTAGGTTCTGGAGGCATTTAGAATTTCTTGGGTGATTCTATGGCTGATAGAACAACAAACAACATAGCCCCCATGAGTTCTTAATGCTAAGTCAGCAGAAAAGGGGCACAAGAATTGTTGTCTGACCTTTGGAGTAACAGCAATTGCTGGCCCAGAAATTAAGTTTATAAATTGGATTGTTGCCAAGGAATAAAATTGTCTTCAGTAGATTGAGGGCCAGTTCCACAGACTTGTAATATCAGGCCATGCTGTGATTGTCACATAATAGTTCTGATTTTAAGAACACAATAAATAGTGCCCTTTTTTTACCACTTGGCTGTGTCCAGAGGACCTCTCCCTTTCTCTCTCTCTCTCTCTCTGTCTCTCTCTCTCTTTCTCTCTCTCTCTCTCTCTCTCTCACACACACACACACACACACAGCCTAAATTATCTGCCAACTAATGATTAACTAACATTAAGGCAAAATTGCCCAATGCAAATATGAAATACAGATTTTGAAATATTAAGGCGGGAAATTATGTTGAAGAGGAACAGAACAGAGTTTTTTGTTTGTTTGTTGTATGTCTTTTTGTTGTCTCTTTTTCAAACCAGTGGCAACCCTTAAAGGAACTCTTCCTGTTATTGAATATCCTCTTGAGCCCAGTTAGAGTTAGCTCCATTTCTGCCTCACTCGCCAGCTCCAGACAGCTTGCCCACACCTGTAACTTCTACTCCTTAGTCTGCTCCTTGCAATGCATTACCGCTGACTCCCTGGAATACCCTGCAAGTTCAGTGCTATCTCCCCGCCTMGCCCATAATCTTGCTCACTTCAAAAAGGTGCAAGAAAGAGCGGTGTTGTTTCGTTTTTGCTTTAGTTATCTCCGAACAAAGAGAAAACCTGGGCCTTGAAGCTTTTTCTCTGGAAGTCTAAGCTCTTAGAGATTCACCCACTTCCACACAGTTCACAACGGGGCTAGGAGCAGGACAGGGGGAAAAAAATCGATTTTCAGATTTTTGAACCAAGTTAACTTGGTCTGGAAGCGGAGGCCAGGATGACTGAGCGACATCCTGAAGCCCAGCAGCTTCTCCCTAGGACTCCTACCAGCGGGGAAGAGACTGTGATGCCCCAAGTCCCCTATGGGACTATGTTGGGAAAAGATGGAGTGAGCAGGCGCCCTAGAGCAGGGTCTCTGGGGTCCCCGGAGCAGTCACGTGTTCCCGAGGCGCCTCTAAAACCCTCGCGGTTCTCCGCCCCCTCCTCCCCACCGCCACCTCCAGGTCCTGCTCCTGCTGCCGCTGTCACAGCTGCTGTTGCCTGAGTGCAGAAGCCACCAAGCTCGGCCACGTCCCGGGGAGCCGAGAACCGAGGCACCTGCAGCGCCCGGGACGCCCCGAGGTACGTTTTCCAGACCCCGCCATCCCTGTTGATGCCCGGAGAGCCTGCACGGAGTGGCCCTGTCCAGTCTTGTCGCGGGCGACCTGTCCGCACCGGCCCGGGCTTCGGGCTCCCGCACCCCTGTCCTCGGTCCTGGAATGCTGTTGGGGCTTCCCAGAGAGTGGGTGGGGAAGCTGGAGGCAGCGCGGCTGGAAAAATGGGGGCGCAGGGTGGCAGCACAGGCGCGGAAAGCCGGGAAGGGATCGTGGTGAATTTTTTCTGGCCGGGCATGTACCCCCAGTCCTCAACTCACCCGGGGTGGAGCAGGCACTGGGCGAACCCGGGAGGAGCATGTCCGTCCGGGATCCACTAGGGAGCCTCGTCTGGAAGGCGGGGAGGAGGGTGGACAAAGCTCTCCCCACCGCTGGCCAGCCCAGGGTGCAGCCAGAGAGGCGTCGGAGGCCCGGGAGCGGCACCCCGCGCGGGTTGCCCGGCCAGCCCTAGCTCCAGCGAGGCCCCGGGGTGCGGCGCCACTTGGGCGGTCCAACTGTCGCGCTGTCCCGCAGCTGGCCCAAGACCCAGAGGCAGTTGCTCGCCTAGGTTTGCGCTCCTATTTGCGAGGTGGCCTCTTTTGACAAAGGCGAGCGATAAACATGCATCCCTGTGCCTCGAATTTCAGAAAAGGGAATTATGATCCCCAAGTTTACAGACCTTTTGGTTTATATTTTAAACGAACATCTTGTTAGATAGAGTCTGGAAGGATTTTGCCTTAGTCTAAGGAAATAGCCTAAGGCTCTTTTAGGGGAATTTTGCAGACTGAATGCAATGCTAAATTTCAGATTTCTCAAGGTAAGAGAAACTCTGCTGGCAGAATGGAGAAGAGAGTGTTCCTGCGTGTTTTGTCGGTTGAGCAGAGATGTATTTATCTGTCCAATTCCAATTTCGCCAAATTCTGCCTTTAAGAATGAATCATGGGAATATTTGGGAACTTTGGAATCTCGTCATTGTTTCAAATCACAGCAATATAGGCAACAGCTGATATTTTATCATTGCTAGAAGAAGAGCTTGCATATATTTTATTCTTTTATGTGATTGACATCTTTTGTGAGAAGAATCATGTGTATTTTCTTAAGATAGAAAGTTATCTTAACAAAGAACCCATACTTAAAATGCATAAATCAATCTCTTACTGTCAGACCACTGTAGTTTCTCTTATTCTAAGAGCTTTGTAATGTTCTGAACAACCAATAATAATTAAAAATTTCAAAAAAGAGAAATATCTGCTTTCTTAAAACATTTAAAGTTTATTCAGAAGACCATTTGTCTAGGTATCAGATATAGATCAATAAATACTGAACCACAGTATATTCCAAAGATTTTACTTTTTTTAAAGTTGCCACAGTTTAGCTAAGAACTTATGTATTTTCACTTCTTTTTTAAACTGAGAATTAAAGTTCATTATTTCAGCTGGAATTGCTGATGATGGAAGATATATCCATATATAAAAGAGAAGAACAATATAGAGTAATTAGGCAATTAGGCACAACAAAGCTTTCAGTTTGTACCAGATTTCTTCTTGAAATAATATTTATTTATTTCATTGTTTAAACACTCTCTCTTTGGTTCTATTTCATTTTTCTTTAATAATCTGAGATGAAATAAGTTTCACATATGGCATTGCTATTATTACAAAATATTTATCCTGCATAAAATTATACAGCATTCATCATAACTTCTTGAAAAATAAAATTATTAAACAGATTTACATTTTCACTCTAGGTTTTCTTATTGTATTTTTCAGGGAAAGGAAAGTGAATGATTAAGTTTAAGAAAATAAATCCTTTAAGCTTTTATTTATTTAGTTTCAAAATAGCTCCTCTACCTTAGATTTTCAATGTTAAAACAGACAACATATCTTATTGAAAAAAAATTTCCTAATGTTTAAACTATCCCCTAATTATATGCAGGGGCTAATTAACATGTTCACCCACCCCCAATATCAATACCCATGGCCTGGTTGGGAGAAGAAATATTTATGGGAGCAAATTAATATTTTGTGCAGAGTACTATATCAGGTGTCATGTTTGTGTGTGGTAGATGGAAGGACTGTGGCTGAAAGGAGAACAGGAGAAAATTGACTACAAAGTCAAACCAAAATAAAATGAAAAAAATAAAATTTGAATGAGTGAATATTAGAAGGGAGAAAAAACATAAGAAAAAGACAATTTATAAATCAATCAATAGGTACTGTTATATTCAGTACCTATTCTATATATGTGTGTGTGTGTGTGTGTGTGTGTGTGTGTGTATTTTTTTCCCTTAATCTCTTATATTCGGCAGTAGTGCAAGTGTTTCTGCTGTAGTGAAAAGAGTACATCACCAGCAGCCAGAAGATGCCCTTCATTCATTCATCACCCATTTGGGGACTTTCTTATCTCAGGCAGTCTTCTCACTGTATGAGTTTGACTTAATCCCTTATAGAATATTCCTTTCACAATTAGTCATATATTATATTAGTCATCTTTATGCCATCATGGCAGAACAGAGTACCTACCATATTAGATGTTCAATAAATGATTATTGAATAAATAAAGGAACAACAAATCTTACTTAGCTATTCATTAGTGAAAGCTGCCTCCCCTTTGAAATTATGCACAAACTACCTATTTCTTAAAATACTTGAATATTTTAGGGAAGGAAAGAAATGTTATCTTTGGTTTTCCCAGTGTTCAACAAATGGCATTTCCTTCAACTGCTTACTAAGGAGAATGTGATTTTTTACAGCTTAATGAATTCAATATTTTAGGTTCCTATGTTTAAAATAGGAGAGTTTAGTAACAAATTGTCCAATAAGATGCACTTCTTTTAATTTAAATAGAAACATGGTAAGTTTGTTTTTGCAATTTTAGTTTCATGTTGGCTATGCCATATCCTTGATCAATGAAGACATTCAATTTAAAAAGTTAAAGTACTAAAATATTATTTTTACGTAGGTGTCTTTCATTTTATTTAGGGGACATTTAAAAACTTATGCAATTTCAGTGTATCCCTATATGCATATGTGAACAAACATGTACATGTATACATATGTAYACATGCATATCCTAAATATTCCTCTGATGATTCATTTCTGTTATTTTAAGTCTGGGAAAAATTTAAAAGTACTTTTCTAAAGTAATTAATAACAAATATTTATTTAGAATCTGCATATGTATAATATTCTATTAATCACCTCCCTACCATCAAAATTATTAGGACTTTCCCCCTGTCTCCCTTAGGATCTAATCAAGAGAGTAGAACCCAAATCTTGGAGATAAGCTGAATTTTAGATTCAAAACCACATTGTTTCTATTGCCAAAAGCTCTGCTGCATTTCTTCATCTTCAAAAAGTGTTGGACAGCAATTTTACAATGAATCTTCTAGCTCAAAAGCACAAAGCCATTGCAAAAGGGGCTGTTTAGTTTCTCGCTTGTCCTTGCCCTGAAGGTAGAGAAAGGCAATCAGTAACCATGCCCTACTACAAAGTCAGGAGAAAGGGAATGATTCAAGAAAGTGAGTCAAAAGAACAATTAATCAGGAGCACAGTTACAAATAGCCTGTTCACATTGTAAGTGTAAATAGGATTGTGAACAAGCTATACCCGGGGTCGGGGGTGGTCGTCAGAACTCAGGAAATTAGGCAGAGTCACCAGTCAAAGCTGCTTTCATTAGAAGCTCACTGACCTATCCAAGGGAGTAGCTGGGAGGCCATTGCCCAGTGATATGGTACATAAGATGATACAGGAGAATCAGGATGATTCATGTTTGTATCAGTTATCCTCTTTCCCTCAAGGTAGAGTAGATGTAACTTGCTGGCTAGGACCTAAGGATAAATGAATATGATCTTGGGTTTTTGAATTGATTAATCTTTAAAGGGATATAATTGGCATCAGAAAGTAATTTTATCCACATGGAATTAGTGGAAGAAGTTGTGAAAAACTTTTCAACTTTTCTCATAGCACAATGATGACTGTGTATTTAAAAATAGCTGTAGATAAAGCTAAAAGTAATCTTATTTATAATGAATGGATGTATGTACACAAAGCATTTCTTTTTTTCTTTTTTTATTTATTTTTATTTTTTTTGAAATGTAATGAACCAGGACCTGTAAGTTCCTCATAAGTTGAAGAAAACACTGTGCACTATTAATTTAAATATGATTTTTTTATAGTTTATAGTTTAAGAACAATTATTCAATTATACACACACAAACACACACACACAAAGAGAGAGAGAGAGAGAGAGAGAGAGAGAGAGAGAGGGAGGGAGAGATCTGTAACAGTATGTACTCATCATAATTCATTAGCTATTATTGTCTTGAGTTTCCTGTAGGAAATTCTTGTTGGAAAAAAATGGAATTGTTAACTTTCATTAAAAAGAAGTAGGGATTCCTTTTGCCCCTTACTGATTTGTTATAGGCAATTTAGTGCTTCATTAAACAATATGACAAAAATCTCTAAAATGTAGAGGTAGAGCTATAATACCACTGTTATATGACATAAATTTTATTCGAAATGAAAAAACTTACTATGGAGTGTTGTGTTAGCATCACTTCTACGTTTAACTTTAAAATATAATGTTTTCCTTAAACAATATGAATTCATGAAAGCTTTCTAAAGCTGACATTTAGATGAATAGTATTTTTAGCTTAAAATAAAAATCATATTTAACCAATTCAGTATTTTTTGCCTAAAATATAAGAAGCAAAAAATATTTTTCCTGAATAATATTTAATTTTAAATTGACAAGTAAACAGATAAACTTCATTTTTAACAATACCAACAGCACTACTGGTCAGTGATTGTCCTATTTCATGGTAACCGAACACATCTCAAAGGACTGAGAATCTATCATTGAATGACTTCATTCAGCACTATGTAGTGTGTAGCTTAATAAGCACTTATTGAATGCTTACTATATATACCTAGGTCTTGGAACAGTGTTCTACATTTAAGGAGCTTGAATGTGAACACTGCCTGAACTAGATTATATTTAGGTTACTTGATTTTTGTTTGGATTTTTTGTTCTTTCCTAAATATTGATTTAACACCTAGAGTGGGTGAAGCTACTCTGCCATGTGTTGTGATGAATGCCATGGGAAATAAGTACTTTAGCATTACTTATAAATAAATAAGGGAGACTTGTAGGCATGATTGCAATGTAAAGCAGATGGTGACTGCATCAGACTGCTATACTCAGGGTATTATGGGAATTTTGAGGAGAGATCTCATCCAATTTGGTAGATCAGAGATAGCATAGGTGACTTTTATATTTGACTTTGATTCAGGAAGGAAAGAAAGGGATTTTTTAAGGTAAGATTATGTCATGATACCATGTACCAGGTATCTTGACTAGAGAATAATAGTATTGAACTATTATGTGATGTATTTTAAAGTTCTTATCTTCCCTTTCCCTACATTATTTGTACCATAAATTAAAAAGACATAAGTCTGCTCCTTTAGCACAAGTTGACACTGCATAGAACTGATGATAGAGTTAAATTCACTGTGTTTGTTAWTGGCTGGATTTGTACTGCATTTGGAACCAAGTAAAGACCTCACTAAATTTTCTCAGATTGATAGGGTAATGGGAGCAAACTATAAAATACAGTTTCCCTCTGGATGGATTGTGTTCAGTAGTCATGTAATGGTTTTTATGTTTCTAATGAATGTCTCTTTATTCCAAGCAGGACTCTAATATGGATTTAGAGCTCAAGGAGTATTATAACAAGACACTTGCCACAGAGAACAATACTGCTGTCACTCGGAATTCCGATTTCCCTGTCTGGGATGACTACAGAAGCAGTGTAGATGACTTACAGTATTTCTTGATTGGGCTGTATACACTAGTAAGTCTTCTTGGTTTTATGGGGAATCTACTCATTTTAATGGCTCTCACGAAAAAGCGTAATCAGAAGACTACGGTAAACTTTCTCATAGGAAATTTGGCCTTCTCTGACATCTTAGTTGTGCTGTTTTGCTCACCTTTCACACTGACCTCTGTCTTACTGGATCAGTGGATGTTTGGCAAAGTCATGTGCCATATTATGCCTTTCCTTCAATGTGTGTCGGTTCTGGTTTCAACCTTAATTTTAATATCAATCGCTGTTGTCAGGTATCATATGATAAAGCATCCTATATCTAATAATTTAACGGCAAATCATGGCTACTTCCTGATAGCTACAGTGTGGACCCTAGGTTTTGCAATTTGTTCTCCCCTTCCAGTGTTCCACAGTCTTGTGGAACTTCAGGAAACCTTCGATTCAGCATTGCTGAGCAGCAGGTATTTATGTGTCGAGTCCTGGCCATCTGACTCATACAGAATTGCTTTTACTATCTCTTTATTGCTAGTTCAGTATATTCTGCCTTTGGTTTGTCTAACCGTAAGTCATACTAGTGTCTGCAGAAGTATAAGCTGTGGTTTGTCCAACAAAGAAAACAGACTAGAAGAAAATGAGATGATCAACTTAACTCTTCATCCATCCAAAAAGAATGGGAATCAGCTGAAACTCCCCAGCAGCCACAAGTGGAGTTATTCATTCATCAGAAAACACAGGAGAAGATACAGCAAGAAGACGGCATGTGTGTTACCTGCTCCAGCAAGACCTTCCCAGGAGAACCCCTCAAGAACACTTCCAGAAAACTTTGGCTCTGCGAGAAGTCAGCTCTCTTCATCCAGTAAATTCATACCGGGGGTCCCAACCTGCTTTGAGATGAAACCTGAAGAAAACTCAGATGTTCATGAAATGAGAGTACAACGTTCCGTCACAAGAATCAAAAAGAGATCTCGAAGTGTTTTCTACAGGCTGACCATACTGATATTAGTGTTTGCTGTCAGCTGGATGCCCCTGCATCTTTTCCATGTAGTAACTGATTTCAATGATAACCTGATTTCCAATAGGCATTTCAAGCTGGTGTATTGCATTTGTCATCTGTTAGGCATGATGTCCTGTTGTCTTAATCCAATTCTCTATGGATTTCTTAATAATGGCATCAAAGCTGACTTAATGTCCCTTATACACTGTCTTCATATGTCATAAATATCACGGTTTACCAAGGAAAGAACAAATGTTGAGGTCATCTAAAATATCATTTATATTTTCACGATAATGATGTATTTATAATAAATTTTGATAACGTGGAATCTAATTTACATTAAAGAGCTCTGGATTTTAATGTCAGTTTGTAATATATGGAAGATAATTTTAATGTGTTATAACATGAGTAATTCATTTAGTTGTACAGAGTCAGTGTCAATAACATATGTAATTTCATTTTTTAAAGTAGTTAGATAGTAGTTATGTTGCCTTCCATTTCATGTTATCTATAAATCAATGGATGGTGTTTTTTGCTTAAAATAAAACTGATATCCAAACAAATCAGTACTATTTTTTTGTGTGAAGAAGCAAAACTTATTTTTTCTGCAGAGTATTTAATTTCATAATTGAGGAGCTTTGTTATCTGTCTTCATTTTTATTCCACAGGCTTCTTAATGCTTAGTTTGTGAAAGTACAGAACATATTTAATATGCCTAGGAAATCATGACTAAATGACAGATGTATGCCTAGTAATCATCATCATTTTAAACATTGGGTACATTTTTGGAAATCCTATAGGAAAATGAATATCTCATATTATTGAGAATTGGTAAAATGATCAATTTAGCTCTACTTTCCTAATTATAAGCAATTAATTTGGCAAATAAAAAATGTTAATCAAAACACCCTTCTATGACTGTGATTTGTTAGTATGTAAGAGCTCCCCCAGGTAATTTGGACAGAACAGTCCATAAATTGAAAGAGTAGAGCAGTTACCCTCAGCATAAAGACCACTACCTTCACAGGTTTTCCCACTGTACTCCTCCTCTTTCCCGAGGTATTTCCTTTGCCTTCTACGTTGTCAGTGTGCTATTGGGGTTAAAAGACTCTTCCCAATTCTGAAGCCCCTTTAAATTTTGCCTGGTCTAAAACTAGGAGTTTATTTTCAAAGATTTTGACCCAGGCTTGTGTATTTTTCCTTCACTATTCTCCCATAGTCACATCAGAAAACCCAGAAATCTGAGGCCAGGATGAGAAAGGAACAAAAAATGAGAAATGCCTGTAAAAACATTTTTTTTCTAGATTTGAAATAAAAGCCATATCTATTAACATAATGAAAAAAAAAGATTTTAAATCTTTTCTAGACTTATAAATAACATTAAATACTATCAAATAATGTTTTTATATACAACTTTTATATTCCAAAACATGAAGTCTAAGTGATGTTTCCAGTTATTAAATAATTTTGAAGACAATATTAAGTGTTGACAGAAAATGAGGTTAATATATTTGCCCCAATATAGAATAATTAATATACTTTGCTATTTCAATGTGATCTGCATATGAAGTCTCATATACTGTACTACTAAATTGAGGTTAAAGTCAGACTATTTGAACTTTTTGCTCATTTGCTTATTTTTGCCATTAAAAAAATTTTTTTTAGTTGTAGATGGACATAATACCTTTATTTTATTTATTTATTTTTACGTGGTGCTGAGGGTCAAACCCAGTGCCTCACACGGACTAGGTGAGAACTCTACCACTGAGCTGCTACAACCCTGACCCCCATTTTTTCCAGTTCCTAAGTCGCTAAAAAAAAAAAAAAGAATTGCATATTTGCACATATGCAAATTATGCAAAGTAATACTGTTATTTTCAGGGCCTATAACTGATTTAGACATTATATACATATTCCTGCTTGTGATAAGGAACAACGATAAAACAGAAAAAACAAACCCTTTAAGTTTGTGAGTAATAGGTGATTATCATGTTTAATCAATTGAAAGTTCACAGTCTCTATGGGGTTTTCTTTCTGTCACGTCCTCCTTACCTGGAATGTGTGTACCTAGGGAGGAAGTCCGTGGGATCTCATACCATGGGGAAATGTGCTGGCTCACAAGGTGTCTTCTGCTGGCTCCTGTTGAACTCCAGCTGAGGAGTAATAGTCCTGCCTGGTTTCCATGTTACATAAGCTTCTGCCTCTGCTCTGTAATGCATGGTCTCTTAGCAAAGTTAGGGCCTGGGAATCAACCCAGGATCCTCTATCTCTGCTGACATGCTAGGACTTAATCTTTCACTGCTTGAGTTTCCACCACAACCTCCATTTTGTTCCCAGGTGTCTGTCTACACTGTGGGGTTGCTATGTTAGTGATGCTGTACCTTGCTAAGTCTGGGAACTATTGGGACATTTTACATTCATGGCTGGGAATTCTGTAGGAATTTATGACATTCTGCTCCTTGTGTAGGTCACAAGGAACTGAGACAAGCAACCTAGACTTACTCATGTTTTCTGTCTGCCCAACACAATAAGCTGCCATATCTACTTTGTGGTATCTACTTCACGTTGGTACATGAATCCTCTGCTTTCAGTTCCTTCTGGGTTTTCAAACACAATCTCGTCAACAAGCCCACTCTGCTCTTAACTTCTCTCTAATTTTTCTGGTGCTATAAGAGTCCTCCCCCAAGTGTTTATATTGTATCAAGAAAAATGAAGAAAGCTAGTTCATTTTTTGCTTCTCTCTTTTTTAATCTCTCCTATTTATCCTAAGGCTTTCTACCCATTTCTGTCTGGAAAGAACATTCCCTAGTAATATCTTGCCCTTTCTTGGAACTGTGTATGGCTGACCCTAAAGCTATGTTCAGAACATCAGGGGTTGCTTTTGGAAAATGAGGCTTTCATATGAAAAATGTTTTACTCTTTCAACGCTGGGATCCAGGACTCTTGTCTCACCATGAACCCAAAACAACAAAATTTCTGTGCTATAGAGTGACCTCTTTTTCAAAAACAATAAGCCTGCTCACGTTCATTAGGGCCCTGAAGTTCAAACTTTATATCGATAAGTACAAATATAAATACACAGGAAGATATTTGATCCAGTTAGAGTACCTAACATTAGCAAATGTACAACAACTGTCATACTTCATGGTTTTTACAGTTGTTAATAGATGCATTTAGTTAAACCAGATAAACTATAATTTGGGGATCTTAAACTGTTGAACTTGAAGGAAGCAATTAATCTTCCTTAACCAGAAATGATGGAATGTTCTTAATAATTGAAAGTTAAGGAGTTTGAATGGGTTGTTGGATAGGAGCCATTAAGGTTGGGATTAATGGTTTTTATAAGATTATTATGAATGATAATTTCTTCCATGGAGACTTGCTGAGTGAGCTAAACAATTTATGTTCAGTCAACTCTCCATTGCTCAAGGGCTGATTATATAATTTTGTTTCTATTCTCTCCTGGTGTCTGACATGATTTAGTGGTCCAATAGCACCTTTACAAAAGCATGGCCCAGGGAACTAGATGGAGATGAAATTAAAAACTGTCAACCTCATTGCTTTTTAACAATATTTAAGAATATTTCATTCAGGAAGAGAGGTTAAATTGGGTTTTAGTGGTTATTTAAATTATTCTTGATAGCTATGTTGCCCATTACTGTGAATAACAAAACACAACATGGAAAAAAAATTTTTTTAAACTGGGGCAAAGTACAAAGAGCAACTACAATGATTAAATGATGAAGAAACATATTAATATTCTCTTAGTCAACAGATACCAATTGAATACCTACTACTATGGTTTGATGGTCACTTCCAGATTCAGGTTGAAACTCAATTGCTGTTGCATCAAGAGGTGGATCCTAAGAGGTGAAGTTATGAGGGCTCTTATTGCAAATGTGGCTTAGTTACTGTGAGAGGGTGTCTCAATAAAAGTGGGTTCAGCTTCCTCAGGCTTCCCTAACTTCCTGGCTCTTGCTCTCTAGCATATTCCTTCACCACGTGATATTCCATGTTATGTACCAACAAGAATGGTTAGCCCTCACCAGGTGTTGGCACTTTGATAAGGGACTTCCCAAACCTCCAGAAATGTGAGAAATAAATTTCTCTTCCTTATAATTTATCCAGTCAGTGGTGGCATGTGACAGTAGCAGATACTGGGCTAAAACACTATGTGACAGGAACTGTTCTTGGTGCTGAGGATGTATCAGTGAACAAAAAAGACCCAAAAGATCCCAGCTCTTGTGGAGCTTGCCTTCTGGGAAGTAGAGTCAGTGACAAAAGACAGACAAACAATAAGCAATAAGAACAATAAAAAATGATTATATAATAATGATCCAGTATATAGAGAGACGCACTGCTTCCTAAGCTGCAACAACAAATACTACAACCCAGTGGCTTAACGTAACAGAAAGGTATTGTCTTACAGTTCTAGAGACTGGAAGTCTGCGATCTCTGTGTTCCTATGCAGCCATAGAGAACCATTCCTCACCCTTTTCCAGCTACTGTGGTTAGCTGGAAATCTTTGTTTCCCTTTGCAGTTGCATAACTCACAGTATCTCTGGGTCCAAATATTCCTCTTCTTATGAGGACACCACTCATGTTGGATTGCCCCCAACCTCGATTCTACTAATTTAATTACATCTGCAATAGCCCTATTTAATTAAGGTCACATTCTGAGGTACTTGGGGCTAGGATTTTAATAGATGCATTTTGGGGAGGTGGCACAATACAATCCATAACCATATTTTAATGATGGGTATTAATGATAAGAGTCTTAGAACCCTATAGACTAGGGTCAGAAAAGGTGTGCATGAGGCAGGAGAAGGAGAAGACTTAGATGTAATGTCACATAGTGTAATTTCAGAGGAGATGGCTCCAAAGCTTTCATTGAGAAGATAAGTTACACAAAGACTTGAAAAAGGTGAGGAAACTGTGTGTATCAGAGAAAAGAGCACTCAAGGAAGGTGGCACAGCCCGCATGAAGACTTCTAAGAGGGACCACAATTTAAGTGAGGAAGGAACAGGAAGGAAATCATTGTAGCAGAAATGCTGTCATCAGAAGGAGCTGAGYCAAGGACAGTTCTCATAGGTCCTTGACAGCATTTGTCAGGATGCTGACTTTCCGTTAGGAAAATGGGACTCCATTGTGTGGACTGACAAGACATGGAAGTCGACTCACTTATACTGAAAAGATCACWCTAGCTACAGGATAGACTGTGTCCCTCTGTCTTCTGTCCTGTTGTTAACAATGATGGGTGCTTTTATGTATGTATGCATGAATCACTGGGGGTAAAAATGGTAACATTTTAATTTTATCATTTCTTTTACATTTATTAGAGTAAATGCATTGTTTAAAAACAATACTCTTCTTCAATCTATTATTTGGTTACCCAATGGTACAATTCTAGGAAAGGATGAAAGTTTTGGTAGTATCTCTTTATTTATTACTTGTCAAAAGTGATTAACTCATGGATTTAAACACAGGTAATGAGTTCTAATCCATGTCCTTTGTTATCATTATTGAGGAAGTTCAAACAGCCAGACACAGTGGCACA